CAGGGCGCGGACGGTGGAGGGAGTGAACAAGTTGCGGCGTTGGAGCCTTCTGAAGCTGTGCCTGCGCATGGTGCGGACGGGCGGGGAAGGTGGAGACGAAGATGAGTTGTGGGTTGAAGGCATACCACCAAACCACTTGATGACCCACTTGCCAAAAAGCCGTCAATGCGACACCTGTTTGCAAGCAAAGTTGTATGAAGCCCCTCACAGAAGACGTGAAAACCAAAGAGAGGTGTTGAAGGAGGCAAGGTCGAAAGAAGACCCTGAAGGTCATTTGGAAAGAATTTCGGTTGATTTTGTAATTGCTTCAGATCTTGTTGGACAAACGGGCGATAAGGTTGGCTTGGTAATAGTTGACAAGTTTTCAGGGATGATCGGTGTGCGTCCGCGTGAAGAACGAAGTACTGAAGAAGTAGGAAAGGCCATCAGACATTTCTGTGGGACAAAGGCCCCTGGAGTGGTCGAAGTGTCCTCGGACCGGGAAAAGGGTATCCTGAAGGCAGTGGACAATTTGGGTTTTGTAGCTGACCCATCCCCTCCAAACATGAAGATCAAGAATGCAGTGGCTGAAGCTGCCATACGAACGTTGAAGGGTTCATGTTCAGCTTTGATGCCTTCATGCTGGTATGACGTCTGACTTGTGGCCCTTGGCTGTAAAATACTTCGAGTTCAACTACAACATCAACACCATGTCACGAATCACGTTGGATCCGCCAATCACGTGTTTTGAAGCAGCGCATGGTTACCCGTATGAAGGTTACATGATTCCTTTTGGCGCGTTGGTTTGGTTTCACGACACGGGGGGTAAGAGTTTTGAACCAAAAGGTTCTCCTGCTGTGTACCTTGGAGCTGAGCTGATCAAAGGGATGAAGTATAAGGGAAAACCATAAAGTGTGGCCACTAAAGCAGGTTGAAAAAGGTTCCATTTTTACCTACGTAGTGCGAACTCTTGCCTTTCCAACAGGGAAGTGGCAATTTCCACTTCGCAAGATCCAGGAAGGGGGGGAGTCGAATTTAAGTGACAGCTTGGTTCCACCACCTGAGTTAGAAGAAATTCAGGATGAGGGGGACCGGGGAAGGGAAGGTCATGGCGGGGATGATGTGCTCAAAACGCCAGTTGAACCTGATCCCAAGAAACGCAATCGATCCATCACGGCTTTGAGAATCGCAGTCCATGGGGCATCCCCCAAATGCCAAGGATGCAAACGGTTCAATCGGTTTAATTGACTTGCGCGAACCAATGGCAAAGGACAAGAAGCTTCCATCAGGCGATCCTGCTAAGGAGGTGTCCAGTGCCGAACTCATGCCTTCTCCAATCCTCGAACCTGCGCAAAGCGCAGTCAGGGTGATGGAGGGGGAAGAGGACCGGGAAAGTAGTGGATATGCTCCAACTACCCCAAGAGAGTCTGAATTGGGGGACTTCGAATTTGAGGACCCTGATGTTTTGGAAGTCGGTGACAATGTGGTTGAGGAAGAAACTCCGGAGACGTCCGGGGCCTTGATTGCAACAGGCAGGAAATCTGCCGAACTTGCTGACACACTTGAGAAAGGTCCTTCAGTTGTTGCTTCCGTTTTCTTTGATGCAGTTGAAATTGGAGGTCAGGAGGAAATGCCTTTGTCAAACCGATTGGCAAATGCCATGAACGCTGTGCCTAGGCCAAAGGTCAAAAGGCAGAGAAAAGGTGTTGCATGTTCAAAGAACAGTGAATGCTCTAAACTCGCGCAAGAGAGGGGAATACCGTACATTGGGTTTTCCAGGGATGTGTGTGACCTCTCAAAGCCCCAGCGCATTGATCAAATAAGGATGTGGGCCCAAGAGAGGTCGGAATTGGGGGAATCGTTTCACCTGTGGGGATCACTCCCATGCACCCCATGGACAACCTGGCAGAACTTGAACGTCCCAATTTTGGGAGAGGAATTTGAACAAGCTTTGGTGAATAGGAGGCGAGAGTCCAGACAAATGGTTGCAAGCTTTTCAGAGTTAACCGATGAGGCGGTCGAAGGTGGGGGGTCGTCATCGTTCGAATGGCCTAGGTATTGCAGTGGATGGGGGGAAATTCAGGAGCTGGAAAACATGGTTGTGAGACATGATATGTACTCATCCTATCCACGCGGTTGCGCGTTCACATTGGAAATTCATGGAAAACGACCGAAGAAACCATGGCGGATAGTAAGTACAAACGCACGGTTGTCTGCTGAAATGGAAAGCCATAGATGTAGGCACCCAAGAGGCTTCAATCATGATCCTTTGGAAGGAGGAAAGATGTCGTTTTTGAGTGGGTTTTACAATCGTGAAATGGCTACTTCAATCCTGTGCTTGTTGTTCCCTGAAAAGGTTCTTGAGGGGATCCCCAGTTTTCCGGTAATGTCTCAAGAAGAACAATTCAGTCAGCCTAAGATTGAGAGGATATTCGGGCGTCTGGAGAGCGGATGTTTTCTTCAGGAGGCCAAGGCTCTGGCGCATAGGTTGGTGACCAGGAAACAAATCCAGCAGGACCCAAAGGCAATCGAATCAATCAGAAAAGAGGTCAGCGACATCCGATCCATGCAAGTATGGGATGACAGTAGTGTAATGGAATATGAAGATGTAAAGACACGCGCCAATCGAAGTGGTGAGGAAATCCACCTTGCTGAGGTGATGGAGTTGGGAAGCATCAAAAACGATGAACTTGGACCGTCACTAAGCCAACATAAAGGTCGTCTGGTGTTCAGAGGAGACCTGACGCGAAACCAGGACGGATTGCCAGCGAAGTTCCGCGAACTGCACAGCCAACCAGCAAGCCTGTTGCCTTAGTCATGCTATTTGGAATGAGTGGTTCAAATGTCGCGCATGTAGCAGACGCCAAAACGGCTTATTTACAAGCTGTTCTCCGGACAAGTATGCCCACGTGGGTAGTCCTGCCGCCCCTTTGTCGGCCACCGGAATGGGCCGGGAAATGCCGAAAACCAACCGTAAGGTCGCTCAGGCCACTATACGGACATCCTGAGGCTGGTGACGACTGGTTTGCTTACTGCTCTCAAGCCATGGAAGGAATGGGATTCCACCGTGGAAGGTTTTTTTATCGTTGTGGTGGTGTCCCACCAAGAAGATCTTGATTGCAAATCCGCCGTAGACCTGTATCTCCAGCATGTGGGTGAAGTTGCTCCCGAACCAGTAGCAACCCCATACCTAAGTGAACCATGAGCTGAATGTCAATGACTGGGATTCTAAGGGGTTCTTGGGGGAGAAATCGGCTGCGATCCTCATGAAAATTTTGTGGCTGGCTCGCGTAAGCAGCCTGACCTGTCGCACGGCGTAACAAAATTGGCTTCAGGCATCAGTCGATGGTCGGTGAACCATGACAAGATGCTTCATCGACTGGTGGCATACATGAATGCTACTGCTGATTTTGGGGTTCATGATGTTATGAAAGGTGATCCATCAACTTATTCTCTGCATTTGTATACCGGCGGACTTGGGAGGTGATGTTTGCACCATGAAATCACACACCGGTATTTTTCTGCGCATTCAATGTCCAAACGGTACCATGTTCCCCATATCGTGGGCATCCCGTCCTCAACAATGTGTCAGCAAATCGACAACACAGTCCGAGCTAGTCGCGCTAAACGATGGCCTGTATTCAGAAGCAATCCCAGTTCAAAAGGTCTTGAAAATGATCTTCGAGCGGGACATCCGTCTGGTGATCCGCGAAGACAATCAACTTGTATCCAAATACTGAGGGCTGGGTACTCTGTTCGGCTGAAATCAATGAATAGAACCCACAAGTTGTCCATAGCTGCAATCCATGAAACCATTCAAAACTTAGGTCTGGACCTAAGGTACACAGAGTCTGCCGACCAACTTGCAGACTAAGCATTGGCTCGGTTGAAATTCACTGAGGCACTGCAGAAACTAAGGAGCGGCCCACCAAACCAAAGCTTCTAAACTACAACACGATGTAACTCCAAACGGTTGGGTAACCTGCGCTTGCGCGGTACCCATCCAAGGAGTGGGCATCGTGACCGTGGCGCGCTCGCAGCTGCTGGCCCTTTGATGCGCCGGTCAGCTGAACCATACCTGCGCAATGCGCGGAAAAAGTGAACATGGATGGGTGGAGCGTCTTAACGGGTCCATGTACAGAATTCTGTAGACACCTCCAAAATTAGCGGGTTCTTTTGGCGTATAGACCGTATAGACAGTGAACTTCCTTACCCGAAATGGTTGGATCTGGCTCTGATCCTGCTGCTTGGTGCGGAACCCTGGCTGGGGGGGGTCCATTCCAAAGCGTTGTTGCATCGGCGCTTGCGCGGGGTCATCGTCATTGACCAACCACTCCGGGGGGGGGACTTGAAATGATTCAAGGCACATGCCTTAGGAAGTGCAAAGAGCACTAGTCAATCTAATATGTTTGGCTCAAGATAAAAGTGCAGATCGTTAGATTCAGTTATTTAGGGTAAACTTTATTTAGGGTAAGGTGGATTCATGAAAATCCATTCGCTTTACGTAGGGTAAATTTTATTAAGGTTTTTGTTATTTATTTGTGTTTTTTTGTTATTGCTAATTTTAGTATATATATATATATGTTTGAATATTTTTTGTTATTTTTGTTGTTTATTTTTTGTTATACTTAGTTTTCTTACTTTTCTTTGGCTAACTTTATTTCGGATCCCTTTATTAATCAGAGGTCAACATTATATGTTCTATCAGGATTGATATTCTACGGAGTGCTCAATTGAACTTGTCAGCGCTTGAGGGTGCACAGCGAATATGTCTTACACGTAGTTGTATCTTTTGGTGCTCATATGAAAATGCAAGTTGGGAAGGGAGAAGCATTGCGGCCATTGCTTGCCACATTCCATGTGCAAGTCATTTGTTTTCCGTACTCAATGTCACATGTTTTTCTTGAGCGCATTCTATTTGCAAGTAAAGCCTTTATTCTATCTGCGAGCGATCTCCTACAACGTTATTCTCATTAATGTAACTTGAAGCACAATTTGTTCCTGCTTGACAGTGCCTTCAGGACCGTTACAAGCCCCGGCAAGATGAGAACGGTGTTCCGGGAGGTGAAGGTTTTTTGCATTACAGCGCTGATGGCAACTATGTCACTGTAGCGAGCGGGCGTGGTGACCCTACAAAGGACAGAGTTTTGGAGACACGAGTGATAGTGATAGTGCCTCCTGTGTTTTGAGTCTGTGTTGTTTTCTTACAACTGCCGAGGACCTCTTGGTGGAAGTGTTTCGCGATGGCATCTTGTTAAAAGATTGGACGCTGGAGGAGGTGAGAAAGAAAGCTGATATTCCCAACGGGCCATTCAGCGGCCGGTCAAGCGAGTTGCACCATTGAAACCTTGACAACGCACTCATCAACACTGTGTTGAAGGACTTGAACGAGCGGACACCACCCTTGGAGGCAATCAACGCCCTTTGTGGCATGGTCTCACCTTTTCACTGTCTCACCCTTTCCAATACAGCACAAGATTCACCAAAAAGACGGATACCACAACAGCAGGTCTACAATCTCACGCAGACACGGGCGTTGGAAACATCATTAGTAGTTTGGAGAGAGAGATGCCGACACGCTGCGCAATGCAACAATCCCAAGAAAACGTTTATGAAAACACATGTTTCATAGTTAATGATAGGTCATTGCGTTATGACATGAGCAGTCGCAGTTCACGCCGTGCGTTTAGGCTGAAGAGTCAGCTGTTCCCGTAGAAGTGTGAGCCGTGCCGGCTCTAATTGCGCACCTCTTACATTGTGAGGGGGTTCTGGGAATTGCGGGCTGAAGGGTGGAATGCGCATTGCGCACAGTGTTCTCAGAAGTGGCCAGTCGAAAGTGTTGTTGGAAACTTTGACACACCCTACACTAGATCACAACACCCCATACTACATTTTGCAACACGGCGCATCACCGCATCACTAATCACCAGACCAGATTTACACGTTGCCACCCTGCGCTACAATCACATCAAAAATGATTTCAACTTCTCTCCTGTCAAGGCATCTTCATCACCTTTCCAGACTGCCGAGGAAGCACCAAAATCTCAGCACCTCAGGCTGTCCGAAGAAAACCTGCAAAACGAAAAACAAACATGTCTCCCTGTTCAAAGATGCAGAAACGTCTGGCAAAACCTGAGCAGCGCCTGAAGATTTGGCTGATCTTCCACAGTCAACCACGTCTGCCAAAACACATTTTTCTGCCTACAAAAACGAGTATTTTGCTGATCCTGGCCATACAGGGCACCAAAAGGTCTCTGTTCCAGCCACAAAATGTCTGGTTTCTCGTCTATCCGCATGGTCCATGACACAGCTCCTGCTCCAGTGGTTCCATCAAGGCAAACCAAAGCTCGTGAGATGTTCTCCCCCTTGAACAGCACCAAGAAGCACAATCCACACCATGCCAAACAGACCAAATACAGTCAGAAGAACCATCCAGACAAAGCAAAATGCACACTCTACCATCAGCACAACGCTGACAAGGTCGCAAGGTGAGTCGATACTCCACAGCTCACAACTTTAGAAGGAGTAAGTTTCCCTTCTGCAGGTCCGCTCCATTTTTGAGGCAAATGTGAAGAAGGCACGTCCACTACTTTGGCCATAATACTTTGGCCATCCATTCATCGAACTGCAATGACTGCTCTATCTCATATGGTGACACACTGGCATAGCGCACTCTGGCTTGATACTCCATGATCCAGAACTGTTTAAGTTGGTGTTCCACATTCATTTGGTGGGCCACCACCCTGACCATCATCCATAGCCTCATCATCACTCATAGGTGGCGCATTGGAGGGAGCAGCCATGTCCTGGGCCAGCCAACAGTGATGTCGTGAATTCGATGTGACGATTGTGTTTGCTGAGCATTCATTGCTGTCATGGCACCATATGTGTCCAGAAAATAATGCAGGCTCCAAAAGCTCAAGGGCCCACGCCACAGCTCAAAAGCTCTTGGCTAGAAGAACATAGAACCTGCTTAAATCATTCCTTGAACAGAATGCCAACTAAAGTTGGTTGGAATGCAAATAACTGCAATTCATTGTTGTCAGGGCACCAAGTGTGTCCAGAAGGTAATGCAGGCCCCACAAGCTCCGAGGCCCACAGCTCAGAAGCCCTTGGCTGGAAGAACATAGAACCTGCTTAACTCATGCCTTGAACAGAATGCCAGCCAAAGTTGGTTGGAATGCCAACAACTGCAACCATTAACCATTCCTTTAGCTAGCTGACCAGCTGATGCTCTAAGCTCCCAGTGAAGTGTGGACACAATGTCAAAGGGCTCTAGCCAATGAACCCCCTGTTTGAGCACAGAGCAGCTACCCCTCGAGACTTCATTACCGGCCCGAAGATTTTAACACGACGGAATCTCAGTCAAAAAATAATGAGCGACGACCCTGGAACAAAAAAAGAAATGACGTCAGCTCGGAAGGATTAAAATACATTTTTTCAATTAAAGTCCTGCGTCCAACGATTTTGGCGTTATTCAACGGGTATGATATCACGGTATATATATAACTATGTTTTTTTGCATACAGAATATGAATACACTTGTGCACACATGCCAACAGGATCACGTTTAACGAGGTTCGAACAAAGCTCCGATGAAATAGAGGGTGAGGTGCTTTGTTGCTGCTTGAGGGCGTTTTGGGAGGGCACTGGAGGACCAGCTAAGGTAGATACCCAGGATTTATATAATTAAGGATTTGATCAGCCCGGACTCCTTGTTTTTCCCTTGGTTCCCAACCCTCTGAAGCACGTTGGTCCATAGGATTTTGTAAAAAACAACTCTGGAGAAGAAAACCTAGGGCACCACTGAATAACTAGAAAGTCACCTTGGTTCGGTAGGATTTTAATATGTACAACCTGGGGATCTACCTTAGCTGTCGGTAGCAAGAGGTATCTTCTTGGGACAGTGGCTGCGCAACCGGTATTTAGTTATTTTGGAGAGGTCGATCTGCAAACAGATCTATGACTGCGGCTTCAAAGACATCCATTCCTTTCTTGATCGCAGACTGCGTGCGGTGCAGGGGGTTTTTGCGCTCCTCGGCTGTGTTGAAGGATGCAACCTTGCTTGACATCCCTCCCTCCACCTGGAGAAATGCTGCCAAATTCGTCTCATTCATTTTCTAAGCTAAGCCATTGATGATCTTAGAGTTGGGTCATCACATTTGTTTGTGGACCACTCCCAGAAACAAGCGCAATGCTTACATCTTATCGCAAGCATCACCAGCGGAGAAACTCCACGTGTGGTCGAAAAAACATTGGTCAACTTACATTGCTGAACTGAAGGGTTTGCGCTCTAAATTCCGCGGATGTGCCCCTCCGCGATGAATGCGTTCTACCCCACCACGCTCTATGAAGATGTCACCAAAACTACAACCCTGAAGCTGAACCCACAGCGCTTAAGACCTGCCAGAAGGTCTACAGGCTGACGCGCTTGTTTCACTAGTTGAGTTGACATCATCCGCAGACACAAACCCTTGACAAGTTGACAAGGGTGCGTCTCTTCAGCAAGAATGGAGGGCGATAATTCAGGAAGTTTAGTTTTCCAAGGTTTTGAGCAGACCTGACAGATATCAATATCCACCAAGTTACGTTTCTTGATGTCGTGATCCACATTACACCCGGCTCTCTAAAGGATACGATCGAGACATGACGCGCGGACGGAATGACACAGTCACCCAAAGGGCAAAACAAAAAAGTGAACAAAACAATGTCACCGCATGTGTTTGCGCCTTCCTCCCCAGCCCGCAGCTGCTTGTTTACGCCTTCCGACGTTGTCCTCGCAGATTTTCCCTCGAATGCGTGTCCTCACGCCACGAAGTTGGGAATCATTTTGCCCCTGTACATCGCCGCCGTCAAACCTCCCAGCTCTCCTCAGGGCGGGTGTACTCTTAACATGTTGTCGCGCTGTTGTAGTAAAGTTGGACATCCATTGTTTGATATCCGTGTTGCAGTTGGCAGTTGCACGTTTCCAGCGCATTCGGCCCAAGTGACTACACAAATATTGATTGACTGTGTGTGCATTTTTCCCCGGCCCTGGCTCAGAGAGGACCCGCCGGAAACTTGGAATTTCTCAGGTCAAGATATATCAAGCGCCTCAAGCGTGTCAAAATGAGAACAGAAACTTCACTTCTATTAGTAACAAGTGCATCGCTAGTAGTAACAGGTGCCTTACTAGTAGTAACAAGGTCCACAAAGCACGCTGAACCGAGGAAGCGATGTATGCTAGTCCAGCGTGGGCTTGGCACGTTGGGCGTCGGCTGTGTCATTGGCGTCGCGTTTGCGCCATCAGTTTTTGCTGCCAACTTTAGTGATTCACTTTCGGTATGAAGAAGCTTTGCAGACTACTAGCTTCTTGTTACTACTAGTAAGGCACCTGTTACTACGAGTAAGGCACTTGTTACTAGTAGCAAACATTGTTACTAGTAAGGCACTTGTTCCTAATTGCATTTAAATCTGATTTAATTTTGTCCAAAATTTGTTTTGCCAGGCAAGGATTCCTTCCACAAGAGCCGGTTGCGTCGCTGGCGTCATTTGCGTACGCGGGAGCTCCGGGTGCTCCCGTGGTCATTCCGTCGCCGATGCCCGCGCGGACTTCCACAGGCTGAATCAAAGCGTGAAACGAAAAAAAACGCAGAAATACTTTCTGAAGTTTTGTTTCTGCCGTTTGGCGTCGCTTGGCGCCGCTTTGTGGGTTTTGGAGGCCAATCTGTTAGCTTCACGCCTCAAGGTCATGAGCTCAGACACAGAAACCGCGTGGGCGAGCCGTTGCTCGAGTCGAGGTCAGGTGAACGGCCATGCGATGAACGCGAAAAGTGCAGGTCGCAGGGTGTTGCGGTTGCTACGGCATTTCAAGGTTCTTCTCGGTGTGCTTGAACGCTCGTCGCAAACATTTGCAAAGCTGGATCCCTCCATTTGCAGGTGTGACGACCAACAGTTGACAGCCCAGTGGTTTGAGCGTTTGACATGGGTGTGCCTGGAGAATCTTGCTTTGCGCGTGTGTACATGAGCTTCCTAAACAGGCCAGACATCGAAAGAGCATGCATGTGCTTTGTAAAGGCTTTGTGGCTTCTGTGGCACATTGAAAAAGGAAAAATGACATACTTCACTTCGAGTGGTCTCCACCCTCAGAGGCGCTTTGAAGAAGGCAGGTCACATTTATTGATAGTCTACCCGCTGCCTGATATGCCGCTGCCTGACATGTGCGTTGACACAATGTTCTGACACTTGTTCTGGCATCAATTCTGGTTTGTGTTCTGACACGTCATTTGTCATAAAGTTTTTAAAGGTTGGGAAATGTCTTAGAATTTGTTTTGACATCCCTGTTGCGCGAAGTGATACGTGTTCTGGCATATCTTCTGGCAAGTGCTTCTGACAGGGGCACCTTCTGACATGCTTTCCGGCGTTCTATTTGCATATCGTGGCACTCTTGTGGCACTTCTGCAATAATATCTGGCATTCGGGCATACCTCCTGCCGT